ATCCGAATGTGCACACGATACCTGACCAAGTGTTTGGGAGCGAGCAATAGAATCCCAATGAATTCTATCTGAATGCGCACATGATACCCGACCAAGTGTTCAGGAGTGAGCAATAGAATCCAGCGAGTTCCACTCGAATGTGCACACGATATCCGACCAAGTGTTCGGGAGTGAGCAATGGAATCCCAGCGAATTCCATCGGAGTGTGCACTCGTTTTACTAGCCAAGTGTCTAGGAATCCCAGATTCTGATGGAGTCGCGATGAATTCTATCGGAGTGCACCTGATTTACTAGCCAAGAGTCCATAAATCCCAGATTCTGGTGGGATCCCAGCGAATTGCATCAGACCATGCTCACCATCACCTGCCAAGTGTTCGGGAGTGGGCAGTTGAATCCTACTGTATTCATTCATTACATGCACACGATCACCGACCAAGTGTTCGAGAATCGCCAGTGGAGTCCTAGCGTATTCCCTCATTATATGCTCACGATCGCCAACGAAGCGTTTGGGAGATGATAACCTAATTTACCGACTAAGTGTCCGAGGGTTAACAACATAACAATTTAGGATAGTATATGCTCATTTCAGTATCCAGAAGAGTTAGATATTTCGAGCCAGAACACAAGTCTTAAGTTTTGACTTGTATTTGAACCTATATCTGAGTTCGAACTCATATTTCAGTTTAGCATTTTCGAGGACGAAAATATTTTAAGGAGGATAGATTGTAACGCCTAGTATATTAATTACTATTTATGGAGCTCGACTTTATTTCTATAAATATCAAGTTCCTAATTTGATGCATTTATTATTATTATTTACATTAAATTGAGTAATTAGTATTAAAGTCTAAGTCATAGAGAATTTATTCGATTTTAATTATTAAAGTCAGATTTATTTAGTCCAAGTATCGGTTCTATTTTTAAAACCGAGCCTTGAAATTATCGGAGATTTTATTAAGCGAATCGAATCCGAATAATTTAATTACTCGAGCCCAATCACTTTCGAGCGAGTCCAGTTATTTTAGCCGGCCCATTTAAGTTAATCAGACCTATGTTCGATTTTATTTCGGCCCATTTCAGTAAATCGAGCTCATGTTTGATTTTATTTTAGTATATTTTAAAATCGAGCTTATAGTCGATTTAAATCCGAGACCAATTATAATATTTAAATTGTCCTACTAGTACAATTAGTCTAAGTCCGGTTAATTTTATTAACCAAACATTTAATTCCTTAGTCAATATTCAATGTAATCGAAGCCTAGTCCAATGTTCGGTTGATATTTAACCCGATTTCTTAGTCGATTTCAGAAGAGATAATTACCCCCTATACAACAACACATCTTTTTATTTCCCTTATGACGAAAAATAAATTTGTTTTCCCCATAAACGTTTATTAAGGTTTATCTTTGATTGTCTTAACTT